CATATGCTCCAAAACATGTAACTATTTCATGTGAAAACAGATGGAGCTGTGCTAAATAAATGATGCTCACACAACGATATCAAATTCCGGTGCATTCAATTAGCAGCAAAGTACGAAAGTAGTGCCTTAAGAGCAATAACATCTTTATGTTTCCATCAACTATTATGGGGTACTAATATTGACACATTGCTATGTTAGTGTCACTAGGTAAGGTAATATTGCCAAATAGGGTGCTTACAAAATAATATTGCAATGATTAGTCATTCTAGAATCCTAGGGTGCTTACCTGATCGAGGCGCGGGGGGCGCTGGGGCCGGGGCAGGGGCCGGCAGACGCGGCATGGCGGCGGCGGGCGCGGCGCAGGGGCCGGCGGCCGTGGGGCAGGGCGCCGCGGTGAGGGCGCATAGGGTGGCGAGGGTGCCTGCGCACGAGGCGGCTCGCCTGCTCGTGCATGGCTTGGGCACTTGGACGAGTGTGAGAGGGGCGCGGCCGGTCGGGGCGGCCGGTGGCAACCACTGGAGCGGGGCGGGCGCAGTAGTGGGGCGGGCGGCGGCGCGCGGGGGCCAGGCGCGGGAGGCCGGACGCCGGGCGCGGGAAGTCGGCAGCTGGCGCAGGGACGGGGCCGACGGCTGGCTTGAGTGCGCAGCCGGGGTCGGCGGCTGGCTGCATGTGTGTGCGGGCGCGGGTGTGAGTGTGTGCCGGGGCTGTGTACTATGGCAGAACCGCTTAATCTAATGCCTCCTTGGAGTACTCGTCTTCCATTAGACACTAAGTACCCAAGAGAGGACACTAAATTACACGGTTCTGTCGGGCACACTAGAACCCAATGCAACAGCCGGTCCTTAACCGACACAGACAGGGAAAACAGTGTAACCAAGCTATGCCCCGTTGGCCGCAGGACACAACCTCTTACACCCATCAATACCCAAACCATATCCCTGCTCGGTCTTCATTTTTTCTTTCACCATTTATATATTTCAAGTGATAATAATACAGTAATATATTTTCTATCTCTTGCGAGTGACAGGCAATCACTCGACTTCTATCGGAGTCCTGTAGCATAACAATCTACACAATCCTATTATACTATATATATATATATATGCAAGTGGGTTTCATTCAACTCCTTAAAACTTAATGCACAAAATATAATTTAAAGTGCAGAAAAATAGGGGTTATGCACCAGGGCTTGCCTGGGGTAAGATTTAATTAGAAGTTAGCTTTTTATCTTATCGACATGGTCTCCAAAACATCATTTCTCCAGCAACTCCCGATGACTCCGCGATCCATCGACGTCCCTATTATGATATGCAATACGATGCAATGCAAAGACATAATTAATCAACTGCAACCGTGACTCATTAAATACGATTTACGCCGAGCTAGTTCTAATCTACTTATCAACATCGTCGAGAAAGGTGTCATTTCCCAACAAGTGTTTTAGTTATACAATTCCAAGGTGCTTCTTTATCCCGTTCTATCGATTTAATCTTTATTCGAAATAGGGTATCATTATCTATCTAGCAGACTAATTATTCTGAAGCTACAAAAATTACAGTGAGCAGCTAATAATATAGGTAATTTACTGTAAAATTTTTAGAGTTAATACTATCACCGATTTATCACGGAAATCCCTACAAATTCATCTTTTAACAATATTAAGCATGTTAAAATAATTAGATAAACCCTAAAAACATACCGAACCTATGCGAACAACAACAACAACAAAGCCTTTAATTCCCAAACAAGTTGGGGTAGGATAGAGTTAAAACCCGGCAGAAGCAATCAAGGTTCAGACACGTGAATAACTATTTTCCAAGCACTTCTATGTAAGGCTAAGTCTTTGGGTATATTCCATCATTTCAAGTCTTCTTTTTATTGCCTCTACCCAAGTTAACTTCGGTCTTCCTCTGCCTCTCTTCACGTTACTATCCTGGCTTAGGATTCCACTACGTATCGGTGCCTCTTGAGGTCTCCGTTGGACATGTCCAAACCATCTCAACCGGTGTTGGACAAGTTTTTCTTCAATTGGTGCTACCCCTAATCTATCACGTATATTATCGTTCCAAACTCGATCCCTTCTTGTATGACCGTAAATCCAACGCAACATATGTATTTCCGTGACACTTATCTGTTGAACATGTCGTCTTTTCGTTGGCCAACATTCTGCATCATACAACATAGCAGGTCTAATCATCGTCCTATAAAATTTGCCTTTTAGCTTCTGTGGTACCCTTTTGTCACATAGGACACCGGATGCTTGGCGCTACTTCATCCACCCTACTTTGATTCTATGGATAACATCTTCATCAATATCCCCGTCTCTCTGTAGCATTGATCCTAAATATCGAAATGTATCATTCCTAGGCACTACTTGATCTTCCAAACTAATATCTTCCTCCCGAGTAGTAGTGCCGAAGTCACATCTCATATACTCAGTTTTAGTTCTACTGAGTTTAAAACATTTGGACTCCAAAGTCTCCCGCTATAACTCCAGTTTCTGATTCACTCCTGTCCGGTTTTCATCAACTAGCACTACATCATCCGCGAAAAGCATACACCAAGGGATGTCCCCTTGTATGTCCCTTGTGACCACACCCATCACTAAGGCAAATAGATAAGGGCTCAAAGCTGACCCTTGATGTAGTCCTATCCTAATCGGGAAGTCATCCGTGTCTCCATTACTTGTTCGAACACTAGTCACAACATTGTTGTACATGTCCTTAATAAGCTCGACGTACTTCGTTAGGACTTTATGTTTGTCCAAATCCCACCACATAATATTCCTTAGTATTTTATCATAAGCCTTTCCCAAGTCAATAAAAACCATGTGTAGGTTCTTCTTCTTCTCCCTATACCGCTCCATAACTTGTCTTATTAAGAAAATGGCTTCCATGGTTGACCTTTTAGGCATGAAACCAAATTGGTTCATAGAGACCCGCATTATTGTTCTCAAGCGATGCTCGATAACTCTCTCCCATAGCTTCATAGTATGGCTCATCAACTTAATTCCCCGGTAATTAGTACAACTTTGAATATATCCTTTATTCTTGTAGATCGGTACCAATATACTTCTCCTCCACTCGTCAGGCTTCTTGTTCGATCAAAAATATGGTTGAACAGCTTGGTTAGCCATACTATAGCTATGTCCCCGAGGCAACTCCACGTCTCGATTGGGATACCATCCGGTCCCATCGCCTTACCTCCTTTCATCCTTTTCAACGTCTCTCTGACCTCAGATTCTTGGATTCTCCGCACAAAGCGCATATTGGTGTTATCAAAAGAGTCATTCAACTGAAAGGTTGTGTCTGTATTTTCACCATTGAACAATTTGTCAAAATACTCTTTCCATCGATGTCGGATCTCATCCTTCTTCACCAAGAGATGCTCCATTTCATCCTTAATGCACTTAACTTGATTGAAGTCCCTTGTCTTTCTCTTATGAACCCTAGCCATCCTATAAATATTCTTCTCTCCTTCCTTCGTACTCAAATGTTGGTAAAGATCCTCGTACGCTCTACCCTTTGCCACACTTACAGCTCGCTTTGCAGTCTTCTTTGCCATCTTGTACTTCTCTATGTTGTCCACACTCATGTCATGGTACAAGCGTCTGTAGCATTCTTTCTTCTCCTTAATAGCCCTTTGGACTTCCTCGTTCCACCACCAAGTATCTTTAGCCTCGCCTCCACTTTCTTTAGTTACTTCACACACCTCTAAGGCCACCTTTCGAATGTTGGTTGCCATCTTCTTCTACATGTTGTTTATGTCCTCTTCTTCCTTCCAAGAGCCCTCTTTGATAACCATTTCTCTGAATACCTCTGACGTCTCCTCTTTCAGTTTCCACTACTTTGTTCTTTCAATCTTTAACTTGTTTATCCCTACGGGTACGCACCTAAAAACGAAAATCTGCCATCAAAAGCTTATGTTGAGAAATAACACACTCCCCTGGTATCACCTTGTAACCTAAGCATGCTCGTTTGTCCTTTCTTCTTGTGAGGACAAAGTCAATCTGGCTAGAGCGTTGTCCGCTACTGAAGGTCACTAGATGAGATTCTCTTTCTAAAGAAAGTGTTGGCTATCATCAGGTCAAAAGCTACCGCGAAGTCCAGAACTTTTTCCCCCTCCTGATTCCTACTACCATACCAAAAACCTCCATGAACTGACTCGAAACCTGCGCTTGTAGTACCTACATGCCCATTAAGATCTCCTATAAAAAGCTTCTCACTACTAGGTACAGCTCTAATCATGCCATCTAAGTCTTCTCAGAACTGTCTCTTAGCACTCTCGTCGAGGGCCTACTTAGGGGGCATACGCACTAATTACGTTCAAGACCATATCACCAACGACAAGCTTGACTAAGATAATCCTATCTCCTTGCCTTCTCACTCTCACTATACCATTCTTGAGGCTCTTATCAATCAAAACTCCTACTCCATTTCTATTCGCGACTGTCCCTGTGTACTAAAGCTTGAAACCTGTATTGTCCACCTCCTTCGTCTTCTGACCCTTCCATTTAGTCTCTTGAACGCATAACATATTTACATGCATCCTAGTCGTTGTATTAACTAATTCTCTTAACTTACCTGTAAACGACCCTACATTCCAACTACATAAACGAATCCTAGTTGGTTCGACTAGCTTCCTTACCCTTCGCACCCGTCGACTCAGATGTGAAGACCTTGCTCATTTTTCACTACACCCGGATATTGATGTAGCGCGCCACTAAGGAAACGATGACCCCGATCCTTGCTTACTTACAGAACCATAAAGTTCCCAATAATAGTATGGGTAGTGAAACTATAGAAAGTGTTTGTTTTTGAATTAGCATTAGGGGAGCTTCCAGCCGTGTGTTTTAATCAGGAGATGGTAAAACAGTTGCAAACTTGAATTGCTTTCTTTGTACCTTACTAGAACAGCCAGCGACTATCTATATCATACTTCTTTTGTTGACAAGCTCTTATAATGCTGATTTATGTTTTTTTCATTTAAATCCCTGCCAGCAACCGAGCTGCAGCATTCCTGCAGTTGGTTAAGCTTAGCAAAGCACTTGCTGATGCAGAGACAACAGTCAAGCTGAAGCCACAGTGGGAGAAGGTATATAATTTGTCAAAGTGCTCTCTGATTTTGAGTTTACCACTTACTCAGTTGTCAGATTTCACATCCTGTTCCGTGTTGTGATATAGGGTCATTTCAGGAAAGGTTGTGTTTTGGAGGCAATGGAGCGCTATGAAGAGGTGAGACTAAAAAGAAAGATCCTTGTTACTTTGATATAGTGAGGGATTTTATGCAATCTTCTCCTTCGTCTGCTTCATAAACTTGGACTAAGTCTGCCATGTCCTAGCAAATCAAGAAAATTTGAATGCTTTGCATATGGATTGCATTTGTTAGCTGCAAAGTTCAGCAAATGGAGCTCAGATGACTTAGCGATGCTCATTGTAATGAAAAAAATGGATGAACGCCTGTCCTATACCTTGCTTCAGTTTGTTACTTTATGCTGTTACAGTATAAACATTGTTTCTACCCCTCACTTCCGTCAATTGGCTACTGTTTTTTTGCTGCTACCAAATAACCTTGACCTGTGTTGATGCCTAATTTGGGGTTTTATTTTGTAACTGAACCACGGCCTTCCTTTCTTGCTCCTGGTTTCATCTTCCCAAGTATAATTCTTGTATTTCTGGCTAAATTGTTTAAGTGACACTTCATACCCTTTTTCACTCTAGCATCCGAGGCAATATCTATACAAACAATTTCTTTGATGTTTTCCCTCAAGTAAATGGAGATTTATCTGATTTGTAGTTTACTTTTTCCCTGGTGTAGGCAATAGCTGCATTTCAGATAGCTTTGCAGCACAATTCACAAAATACAGAAGTCTCAAGAAAAATCAAGAGGCTTTCTCAGTTGGCCAGGGAAAAGAAGCGAGCCCTTGATGTAGAGAACATGCGTTCAAATGTTGACATTGCAAAGAACTTAGAATCACTGAAGACTGAGTTGGTGAGTTTTATTGTTGTGACTTATGAATACAAGTTTTACTTCTTTTAATGTTCAATGGTACTGTGTATGAAACTGCCGTGACAAGAAGTCGAGAAGCTATATTCAGCATCCTTCTAGACTACTATATCTTGGTTTTCTTTCATCATGACAATATAGGATTATAGGTAACCCTTTAATCAAGGGGATATTCTTTATAAAATGTAAGTGTGTATTCTGATGCACCTTCTAGACTATATCAGGTTCGTGAAGTCCATTTTTATGCTACCAGTTTGAGTGTTGCAGGAATAACGGAGAAAAGAGACTGTTTTAGATGAGATATCTTTCGTCATTTATGTGTTAATCTGCGTGTATTTTTTTTTCAGGCTGCAAAGTATGGAGATGCAGAAACAGGGCAGAGTATCTTTTCTTTCATCGTTAATGTGATAGAATCAGCAATAAAGGTTTGGCATGACACAGGAAATGTAGATCCAAGGGTCAATTTTCTTCTCGATCAGAAGACTGATACTGAAAAATATGCCCCAGTAGTTAACATTGACAAGGTACTATGCTGCTGCAGAGTACTTCATTTTGCAACTTGACAAAGTTGACTTAAAATTATGTATTGTACAAACAAATGAAATTTAGTGTGTATATATGTTTTTGTTCTAATTTTCTATTTGTTGATGAATTTTATGTTATTTGTTCCACTCCAAATTTGTATATGAACAACCTATATATCAAGAGCTTAATGCTTTACTGTTTTGTTCTCCCACTTAGGCATTTGAGTCCCCCAACACTCATGCAGAGTGTTTCACATATTTGCGGCAATATGCCGAGAATTCTTTTGCGAAGGCTGCTTGTATGGTGTCACCTAAGAGCATCATTTCCTACCCACAGGTTCAACTCACCTACTCCTGCTCTTTTTGTTGAACTATGTTTTCCTATAATTAGTTGCTGCTTGCTTTGCACTTTTTGTTGCTTTTCATGACAAGTTGGTGTTGAGCATTGTCAGTGTTGACACTTTAGATTGTATTGTGTGTGTACTAGATTGAAGAGGAAGGCTAACATGTTGTATTACATACAGGTCTGGAAAGGGCAAGGATCCAGAAAGTGGAAGCTTGACCAGAGTGACGGGTTCTTTGTACAATTTGAATCACCATCTCTGAGGAAGATATGGTTTGTGCCTAGCACAAAAGAGAAGGGACGAACATTATGCAGGTAAATCTCTATCTCTCTCTGCATTACTTCTTTTTTTAAACGAATCAGGCAGGAGAGCTGTCGATTATATTAAAAAGAAGATAAGCCCAAAATAGGCACAACGAAATAACAATGGCCAACAACCACGTCGCAAAACAAACTCAACAAAAGAAAAAGAAAAATAACTCTAGCTGGTCGGATTGGGACATCGACACGAGCCACACTCAACAACTGCCAGTTGGATTGAGACATCAACACGGGCATACCAACTCCACTCAACTCCAAACAGTTCCCCACGCCGCACCCCCACAAACCAAGAGTAGAGCCAACAAGTAGCCCTCACCGTAAGCGCCATCGTTACCGACGATGTCCCACGCCAACCAGTCGCTGCCATGCAGAACTAGCCGCCAACCAGTCTCTGCATTACTTTGGTACCTGACAGTTCTAAAGTAGTCAATTCAGAATTAGTCTCAACTTCCAAAATCAGTGTGTTGCAAAAATGTCAATGGTTAAAATGTTGCTGAAGTCTGAAGAATCCTCTCCATAGATGTCTGTCTTTGCGCTGTTGTACTGTTCACCTTGATGCTATGTTCAGACGATCATGCTTACTAGAATACGACCACCAGTTTGTTTGTCGATGCTAGTTAACCACAAGTGAATTGTGCCTGTAATTGTCAAATGGAAAACAGAAATGACAAACCTGGCATCCTTCAGCCACAACCATCCACCTTTGCTGAGATGTGTACCAGCTGTTTGCGTTATCCGTTGTCCTGTGACGCCCTCCGCTTTCTCTGACCTTAGATGCACCATCCGTTGCACCGCCCTGTACTTTACAGTTTACACGCCCCCTTCATCATCCACGCATTCTGGTTTGCTTTCCGGCTTTCCTAACCTGTTGGATAGGCAGCCGTGCCCCCTATCAAAATCTCGGCGTCCGTCCTCCTCTTTATGGTAGTCACAAGAGTTAGGACAGTGGATATACTGACTGCTGTACAATGCGCCCCTCTTTATTGCTCGTGCATGCAGGAGCCCTGAGGCCCTGGACATCGGCATCCATGAAGTCCTCCCCAGTATATTCAAGGAAGCAGCAGCTTAGATTAAGCGAGGGGCAAATGAACAATTGTCGATGGATGGATGGATGGAATTCCTGATCCTGCACAGCCTTGCTTTTCGTCTGTCTGAAAATAGCCCGGCTGTTTTCTCAGGCAGGAAGAGAGAGAGCTTGCCCGCCGTATTGTGAAAGTTGTAACCAGTGGAATGGAATCTGTGTAAGGGCTTCCTCTGCGCCGAGCCGAGGGACTCTGAAATTTTGCTGCTCAGTTGTTTTGCGCTGTTATGCAGTGAGCGTGTTGTATTTTGCGTGTATACAACAAAAGCCTTGGTTGGTGGGGGTATTTCAGTTTCATTGTTTTTTTTTTCAGAAAAAAAATCTAGTTACTGAATGATCCGGTCACAAGTTCTATGTTAGGTAAGATTATCTCGCTGTGCTAAATTTTCTGAACAATTGGTGGGCATATTTCTAAGAAAAGACCTTTTGTACATTGTAATGGTAGGAGACACTCTTGGCTTGTACTCCTAAGAGGAAAGTCGCTGTTGATGCCCTGTGGGAGTGGCAAGTACATGAGCGGACGATGTGATATAAAGCAGGAAGGAACAGTAGCTAGCCTGTTCGGTTGGCTGGTTCATATCGTTGCTGGTTCGTGAAAAAGTACTGCTGGCTGGTTTGTGTGAGAGAAAAATACTATTCTAGCTGAAAATTTACGATCGTTTATAATAAGCCACAGCCAAACGAATAGGCGGTCCTAGGTGGATTAGGTGGTGAACAGTGACAAGAGTCCGTGAAACACATTACACACTGGGTCGTCTGGGTAGTGCGAGTGCGATCGATGGACGATGCTGCAGCTGCCCCCGCCGGCCACGCACGGACATGGGAGGAGGCGAGGAGCTTTCGCCGCAGTAATGGCGGAGATGGCTCGTTCCTGGCTCTGCTGCTGGTCTCTGTCAATCTGCCATTGCCCATTGCCACTAAGGAAGCGATACTCGATCCTTACTCCATGCCCAGATCACGACACGGTGCGTCACCAAGAGGGTGCCGACCCAGCCCTTGCCCATTTGACACAATATCCGGGTTCCGATATGGCGCGTCGCTAAAAGGGTTACGTCCTAACGGTTTTCTTTCGGGTTTCATCTCCATTAAAATTGCTATATTTAATGTTGGCTCGCCATGTCTATCACACCCCTTCTCCTTTACCAGAGCTTGAGACCTGCTATGTTGAGACAACATAGGCGGAGTTACCGAACCTATACGAATAAAATACACTATTAGATAGATCATGATTTTAGAAATTTAACAAACTTGGTTTCATAATTTTTGAACAACTACACAAATTTATATTGATTTTATAATTTTATTCCCGAAACTAAATTAGCAATTGCCTTAGAAAACAAAAGGGGCCAGCGGCCACCAAAACGGCCCAGCAACCCGCGGTAACGGCACGGGCAGCCCGATGCACAGCGCGCACATGCGGCCCAGCGAAGGCGGCACCAGTCCGGCCCAGGCGGGGTGGCGGCAGGCCGGGGCCGGGGAAGCGCAGGGCGAGCGGCCCAACAGGCCAGCCCACGCAGCATGGCCCAGGCACGACGCACATTTTTGCAGAAATGACCCCACGCTTTTCCCTATTCAACCCGAGATCTTGAGCACTATTTATGTGAGTCACGTAATTTACACCTAGAACCCTATACTCGTTCCTATTCACACTTTCTCACCTTCTCTTTCTCCCCAAACGTAGAACACGGAGCAGAGGAAGCAATCCATCGGCCCATGCGGTGGCTCGCCGGCGGCGGTACTGTCGCGGGGCGACACGGGGAGGTGCGCGGACCACGACCGGACCCGGACCTAGCCACGGTGCGGAACGAGGCGGAGCTCGGCACGGCGGCCACATGCGACTGCGGCAGGGGAGGCGACAACGGGCGGCCACGGCGTACGGGGGTGGCTGCGGGGCACGGCGGCTGGCGAGGGCAGGGGTGATGGTGCCGGCGTCCGAGCGCGGAGAGGGCAGAGCCGTGGAAATAGCGGTGGCCGGCTCAAGCCTTGAGGCGGCACCAGCAGTAGGGCAGTGCCGGTCGTGGCTCGGGCTCGCGCAGGACAACGCTGCGCGGCTGTAGGACCAGCGCGGGCCGAGGAGCTCGTGGGCTCACACGCGCACACGTGAGGGGGCAGGGCAACGGCGGGCGCGGCCATGGCGCGTGCTGCGGGGCAATGCGGGGGGGGACTATAGGACCAGCGTGGGTCGAGGAGCTCGCGCGGCACGGCAGCCCGGCGACGGTGGCCAAGCTCGGTGGTCAGGCCAGGGCGTGCGTGAAAGTGCATCTAGCCCTTTAATGGGTTTTGTATGATTGAATGACAACGTGATTAAAAGTCTAACCCTTTTGCTAAGTGTGGACAGGTAATAGGTTATCTCACCGGTATTTAATGAAAGCTAAAATGATATGTTGTTGTATAAACAATCTAGTTTAAACACAAGACAACAATGCAAATGGAATTCATACAAAGGCTTATTTATTGTGGGATTTCCATGTACTATGTGAAAGCAATCTCGTAAGAATTAATTAATGAGACATGAGGGATTGCATATGGAATGATCTCATATTTGAAGCTTGCTAAATTGAAATGAAAAAGATAACAATACAAATGAATGGGTGATTCAACACAAGATGTGACTTGATGGCTTGAGATTGTGAAGATAGCGAGGAAAGGCTTCGAGGTACTAAGCAAGGGTGAAGGGCAAGCGATGGCTTGGCGGCCGAAGAACCTAGCCAGGGTGAAGAAGGAAGTACTTGTATTTAGTTGAGGTACTAATCAAGCTATGATGGTCATGTCAATGTGGAGGATAAAATCACTATTGGAGTGTTTGATGGAAGTGACTTGATACATTTGGGATTATTCAAATTTGATGAATGGAATCAAGTCACATGCTCAAGATGGCTATGCTCAAGTGAAAATATCAATATCAACATGTTGGCACCCTCACTTGATGAAGAATAGAATACATGGCTTCGGTTGAAAGAGATCAACTCAAAAGGTTTAAATTCGATTATACTTTTAAATTTGAGTTAATAGGAATGCCGTACTATTAAGAGGGTTGCATCATGTTGATAGATAATGTTTCATACGTGCTCAAGCCAACCCAAGTGAGTTTTGATTGTTTGAGAGACAAAAGAGCTAACATGTGTTTTTGCTGATCTGGCAATACCGGACGTGTCCGGTATGTGCCCAGCCACGATAAAGTTCTTATTGTTCTCAGGTTGGTTCGTCGGGAGTTCCGACGTGAGTCAGAAGTTCCGACGGTCGAGAGTTCCGACGTCTTGCGCTAAACTGATTTAGATGATTCACTGTCCTGGTCATACCGGACGTGTCCAGTATGGATGACCAAAGGCCAACGGCTAGTTTTCAAATGCCTTGAGGGTCGGGAGTTCCGACGTAAGTCGGGAGTTTCGACGGTCAGAAGTTTCGGCATGCGTCGGGAGTTCCGACACCTCACAAACTTCAACTCAGTTACTTAGTTTTTAAATATGCTGAGGGTCGGGAGTTCCGACATTCATCGGGAGTTTCGACGCCTCACATTGTCACTGTAACTTAGTTACCGTTGGGGCAGTGTAAGTCATACCGGACATGTCTGGTATGCACGTGTCCGGTATGACAACAGCTATAAAACGGCTAGTTTTTCAAAGGGAGCTACAAATATCCCCAAGCCTCCACCTTTGGAGGCTGCTGATTCTGTTGATACACACACATTTTTGAGCCTTGCCAACTCTCCCAACCCTCTCTTAGTGAGTGATTGATCAAATTTGCCAAATCAAATTGTGGGTTGAGTGAAATTCAAAAAGAGAGCAATCCAACCACTTGAGCACTTGTGCATATTGTCAATCTTGTTATTCGGATTTGTTACTCTTGGACTCTTCGGTCCAAGACGGTTAGGCGTCGTCGGAGAGCACCCGAGAGATTATGGTGTGCCTCGGAAAGTTTATAACGGTCGATTCCGCCTCCTCCGAATCAACTAGTGGAAGGAGGAAAAGGAGTTGGAAAAGACTTCGGCTAGAGTGACCTTTGTGGTACCCTCTAGGGTTGACCTTCGCTGGGTCGCCCGCAGCCCCCTCAACGAAGAGTAGGACTCGAACGAGTCTGAACTTCGGTAAAACAAATATCGTGTCTCAATTCGCATTTCATTTGATATTTGTGTTGCTCCAGCTGTTGTGTAAGTTCTATGTGTAGATTGTCATCTCTAGTAGGTGCCTGCAGTTTGGTTTGAAAATAGAAATCGAAAGGAGCAAGTTCGGGGCTGATCTGTAGAAATCATGTATACCGGACACGTCCGGTATTAGAGCTCTGTGCTGAATCCTATTTGATCTCTATCCTAACTTTGTGTTGCAGGGTTGTAGCTTCTAAATATATTCTTTATACCTTGTTTACACTGTGGCTAACTTATAAGGGGTGGTATTACTCTTAATTTGAAGTTTCCATTTTGGAAACTCCCTTTTCTAACTGTTACCGCATTTAAAGGTGTTAATTTTCAGAAATGTCTATTCACCCCCCTCTAGGCAGCATCCTAGGTGCTTTCCATTGGTATCAGAGACAGGTTCTCACCTAAAGCTTCACCGCTGTGAGAAAAGGATATCGACGCCTATCGAGTTGGAGCCGATGCTTCTCCAAAATGATGGTTCAAACTTTCTATCTTGGTCAATTCATGTACTCAACGCTTTTAGGGATATTAGTCCTCTTGTTGAGCATATTATAGATGCAAGCATACCTCTTCCTATAGTTGATTGTAGCAACTACAAAAATTTGTCAAAAGAGAAAGAGATATGCGTGCAACTCAATGCTCAAGCTATTAATGTCATGTTGAGTACATTGAGTGCAGAGGTTCAAGATGAGGCAATCTTCAATGGACAACCACCTTCGAAGAGTGCTCATCTCATTTGGACTAGACTTTTTGATTTATATGGAAAATCCAAATATGATGATGCACTTGAGATCGAGTCAATGGAAAGTATGTCCATTATGTCTTCATGCAGCGAAGAAGCCTCACAAGACCTCAA